AAGGTAAGGATTATTTAGTCTGGACGAATTAAATTTGAGAAGAGAAAAAACTAGCTTCTGTGAAATCCTGAAAGGAGGAGAGTGTAATATTGCCTTTTGAAGTGCTTTCTTTTTTGTTAACATGTATGTATATTTTCTTTCATTTTTTAAAATTTATTTCTTTATTTTGAGAGAGAGAGAGAGAGAGGGCAAGCAAGGGAGTGGCAGAGAGAGAGAGAGAGAGAGAGAAAGAGAGAGAGAGAGAACGAATCCCAAGCTGACCCCCACTGTCAGAGCAGAGCCTGATATGGGGCTCAAACTCAGAAGCCATGAGATGGTAACATGAGCTTAAATCAAGAGTTGGATGCTTACCCAACTGAGCCACCCAGGCTCAGTATATTTTCTTGATAAAAATTAGAATGTAGAAAAATTAGAGTAAAAAGGGGAAGTCCGACCAACCCCAACCTATTTAATTTCCCTCTTCTCTTCATAGAAGTTCAGCTTTCATCTGGTTTTTCATGAATTTGTATGTTTATAATCATGTGCATACACACACTTACAGTTATTCTTTATTATGCTTTAATTATCTGGTCATTTTTTTCTTGTTACTCATGGGTTCTAGTTCATTCCTTATTTGATAGTATATATGATAATGTGTTTATCCACTCGTTTATTGAGGGACATCTAGATATCAAAATTTGCTACTATAGACAACTATTAGACAAGTGGTTTTTAGGTTTTTTTCAATCTAAACTGATAAACTGTGATTTTTAACAGGTGTCTTTAATCCATTGTCTTTTCTTATTGGTTCTGTGTATACTTGTTACAAATATCATATTTTATACATGTTTATTTTTTATAGTGGTCAGCACAGTCTTTCATTGAAATATCACTGTTCTGATTTACTAACCCAAGTAGCATTCTGAGAAAAAGCTATATACATATTTTGTGATAAACTATATTATGTATACTATAGTGTGATAAACACATTTATTCACTGAAACCACACTGTCTTGATGCAAGGAATGGGTAGCATTCTCTGAAACATCTTTTATAAATATGTATTTTCATAGAGTATTATATACAAACTTGTACCTATTTCATCCACTGAAATAAGAATACCTGGATGCAACGAAAAGTTTACACTCTTTAAATGTATCCAATATGTATGTGTTTTCTGAGTGTATTATATGCAGCACAATGTGGTGAAGACATTTAGTTACCGTAATAACAATACCGTGATGAAATGAATAACTGGCACTCTATGAAACATCTTGTATACATGTTCTTTATCTATTACATGTACCATTTTTGTTGAGTAATTTTTTGTCATACTGAAAAACACATTACATGGAATCGGCCCTTTTAAAAAATTCAGTGGACAGTACAGCATTTTTAACTATAAGCAGAATATTGGACAGTATCTCTCAAGAACTTTTTTATCTTTCATAACTAAAATTTTACACTCATTTAATGGCAGCTCTTTATTTTCCCTTTTCCTCAGTGCTTATCAACCACCATTCTACCTTCTGCCTTTGTAAGTTTGATTACTGTAGATGCCTCATAGAACTAGAACCATACAGTAATTTTCCTTTTGTGACTGGCTTATTTCACTTATGTTCTTAAGAAGTTATCACATATGACAGGATTTCCTTCCTTTACATAACTAAATAATATCCCATTTTATTTGTTTACCACCATTTCCTATTCATTCACCTGTCAGTGGAAATTTAGGTTGTTGGAACCTCTATAAAAAAATGCTGGAATGAATTTGGAAGTAAAACTACCTTCTTGAGATCCTAATATCCATTCTTTTGGATAAATATCCTGAAGTGGAAATTTTGGATCATATAGTATTTATTAGAATATTTTTTGTGGCACACCTATGCTGCTTTCCATCACGTCTGTACTAGTCTACAGCAACAGGAACAGTGTACCAGGCTTCCTTTTTCACTGTACTGCCACTAGCATTTGTTATCTCTTCTATTTTCACTATTAGCCATCTTATCATGTGTGAGGGGATAGCTCAATGTAGTTTTCATTTGCATTTTGGTGGTGACTGGAAATGTTGAGCATCTTTTCATATGCCTATTGGCCATTTGAATGTCTTTCTTTGAAAAATGTCTATCCAAAATATCCACCCATTTTGTAATCAGATTATCAGTGTTTTGCTACTGAGATGTAGGAGTTCCTAGAATATTTTGGGTACTAACTGTTCTCAGATATATAGTTTACAAATATTTTCTTTCATTCCTTAGATTTCCTTTTCACTCTGTCACCATTCCCTTTCTGGTGCAGAAAATTTTCTGCTTGATACGGTCCCACTTGTGTATTTTTGTTCTCGATGCTTTTGTTTTTTGTGTCCTGTGTAAGGAATGATGGTTAAAAACCAATGTCATGAAGCTTTCACCTCTGTTTTTTCTAAGAGTTATACCATTTCAAAAGGTTTTATATTTAAGGTTTTAATTCATTTTGAGTTAATTTTTGTGTATGGTATACATACAATAAAGGTCCAATTTCATTCATTTGCATGGGGATATCTAATTTTCCCACATGACTTATTGAGGAGACTTTCCACATTGTGTATTCTTGATATCTTTATGGAATATCACTTGATTGTGTGTGCATGATTTTATTTCTGGGCTTTTTATTCTGTTCTATTGGTCTTTATATTTCTTTTGTATAAGTTTTTTTTTAATGTTTTGATTACTCTGTGTAATACATTTTGAAATCAGGAAGTATGAAGCTTTTATCTTTGTTCTTATATCTCAATATTATTTTGGTTATTTTTGTTTGTGTTCCATATGGATTTTGAGATTGTTTTTGATACTTTTATAAAAAACTGCCATAAGTATTTTGAGAAGATAGCCTTGAATCTATATGCATCGCTTTGGGAAATATGGACACTTTTTTATTAAGTGTTCTAATTCATGAACATTTCTTTCTTTCTTTCTTTCTTTTCTTTCTTTCTTTCTTTCTTTCATTAATTTTTTTGTCCATTCAGTTTCTTTTATCAGTGTTTCATAGCTTTCAGTCTACAGATCTTTCACCCATTTGATTACATTTATTTGTAGGATTTTTTTTCTGTTTGGTGTATAAATGCTTTTTTGTTTTTTTATTGTAAATCAGATTGTTTTCTTAATTTCCTCTCATGTGGATTTTGGTAGTGTATAGACGTGCAACTTTTTTTCTCAATGTTTATTGTGTTGAAAGGAAATTTATTGTACTTGTTTATTCTAACAGTTTTTTGCTGTTGTTGTTGAATCTTTAATGTTTTCTATATACTGGATGGTGTTACCTGGAGACAGAAAATTTTAATTCTTTATGGATGACTTATATTTGTTTGTTTTTCTTCCCTGATTGTTCTGAATAGGTCAGGTAGTTTCACAAGTTGCTAGAGTGGATATACTTGTCTTTCTTAGATGAAAAGTTTTCAGTTTTTCATCATTGAATATAATCTTTGTTATGGGATTATCATATATGGCCTTTATGATGTTGTAATGCTGTTCCTCCTTTGAGTAGACAATGTATGACTCTGTTTCTAACCATGCTCTTTTTTAAAAAAATATATACGTTTATTTTTTAGAGAGGTCGAGAGAATATGAGCCAGGTAGGGGCATTTAGAGAGAGAGAGAGAGAGAGAGAGAGAGAGAGAGAGAGAGAGAAAGAGAATCCCAAACAGGATCTGCGCTGTCAGTACAGATCCTGAAGCAGGACTTGAACTCACAAACTGGGAGATCATGACTTGAGCCAAAATCAAGAATCAGCCACTTAACCAACTGAGCCACCCAGGCACTCCTCTAACCACACTCTTAACCTGAGCAGCCACAAAAATGATCACCTATCTTCTCCACTATTGGCATTCTGCATAATGTATTAGGGTTGAATGAAGCTTTGGACATTTTTGTGTTTGTTTCTTTTTGTACCAGGATTCGTTTCCTTTCATCAGAACTAAATGAAGGTGGATAATCACATGTCAACATAATTGGTTTTTTTTCTGTTTTATTCTTCCATAATAAGTGTTTTCTTGTTTCTGTTTTTGTTTTTGTTTTTGTTTTACATTTTAACGGTAATTCATTAAGAGGTAACAGGAATAATGCTGTTCAATCCATGTTTGGAATAGGGGTGTTATCCTTTAATCAGACTAACAGAATAGGAAGAGATAGAGCAGAAGCAGAATAAAAGGACATACTAGCAGAGATACTTTAAAAATAATTAAAGGAGGGCACCTGGCTGGCTTAGACTGTAGAGTGTGCAACTCTTGATCTTGGTGTTGTAAGGGTGACTCCATGTTGGGCATAGGGATTACATTAAAAAAAACAAAACAATGAAGGACATTGTCCAAAAGATTTAAGAAACCTTAAATATTCCAAGTAAGAGAAATAAAAGGAAATTGTACAGTAGGCCCATGTTAATGAAATTATTGATATTTAAAAGTGAGGTCATGTAGGATATCTTCGAAGAGAAAATGTACTTAAGAGATGAGCAACCAGTGAATTTACAGTTGACTTGTCAACAGCAGTGATGGAAGCCAAAGGCCAGCAGAATATTATACTTTTGCCAAAAAAAAAAACCTAAAGCACAACGTAGGATAATGCATTCAATGAAAATGTTATTCACAGCTGAAGGAGGATCTAAAACTGAATGGATGGTAAAAGAATTAATGTGTTCCACAATACGTATATGATCTAGGAAGAGACAAAATGTATTGGTCCACTTTAGAATTAACTTAAATATGCATGCACAAATTTCCAGAGAAAGCACTAAAAGAATAGAAATGGAATGTATATATTTTAAATTAATGGAAAGAATAATGTGGCAAGATTGAAAAATTAGTTTCAAAGGAAGGAAAAAGGAATCAAAGATTATTTGGGGACAAAATAAATGGTGTGAATAAATCCTATAGGTGTTAAATATAAATTAAATATACACTACTTACAAGTAGACTCATTGTTTCCATTAAAAGACCAACTTTCTTAGAAAGGATTCAAAATGGTTAGCAAGGCTGGCCCGCAGGCACTATGGTCTTCGTCACCACACAGCTTTGCCTCCCTGAGAGGTACTGGAGAGTCTAAGAGGTGCTTCAACTCGCAGGGCATTTCCAGGGAAGGAAGAATCAGCGCTACAGACTGGTGGTCGGAGCTGTCACCAGAACTTTTGTGAAATGTAAAAAAGTGTGAAGACTGAAGAGGAGAATGAGGACACTCTGGATTAATAGAATTATGCCTGCTTCCCAGGAATACAGCCTGCAGTACACCCAGCTTTCATTGTCAATTTAATTAAGTGCCAGGTGGAGGTCAACAGGAAAGTACTTGAAGGTCTAGCCATCTATGAACCAAAGACTTTTAAATCTTTGACTGCTTTGGCCATCAGAAGGCAACAGGAAGGATTTGCTGATGAAGTTTTGGAGTGATGGGGGGCTCATGGGGTCCAGAGCTGATGGCCAAGAAAGAATTCTTGAAGACATCATTGGTGTAAAAAGGTGGAAATAAAAGGTGATTTTATTAAAGCACGGAGGCAGGACCCGTGGACAGGAAGAGCTGCACTGGGGTTGTGAGGGGTAACTGATTATATACCCTCAGGCTGGGAGGGGGTCAGGGATAGAGTATGTCTCTAAGGAATTTTGGAAGCAAGGTTTTCAGGACCTTGAAGGGCAGCTGTTGCTAGGGAAACACCATTTATTACTGTTTAATAAAACCACAGTCATGAGACCCTTAAGATGTATATTGATGGGTCATACACTTGCAGAATGATTGCCAGCATATATCTTAGGGCAGTTGAGATAAAGGAAGTAGACCTACAGGATCCTTGAGGTTGGGATTAATGTTAAGCCAAGGTTCTCTTTTGACCCCAGCAAAGTGTCATCCTTGAGGCAGTGGAGCTCCTAGAGTGACATCACTCTGCTGGTCTCAAGGACTTGTCAGTGGGCTAAAGGCAGTAAGGGAATTTCATTTTTCATTTGCCTTAGTTTCCCACATTACCATGGCAAGCACTTATACCCCTTTCTTTTGTTCTTGGGTAGCCAGCCAGGAGTGTCTGAGGAATATCACACATATTCCACCCGGGATGGGGGTGTGAGCATGCCATCCTATATTTTGCCCTCAGCTTGCCCCAAGCTCCCTCATCATTGCTACTGCCTTTGGCACCAGGAATGAGCCTGAAGGTCTATTTTCCAGAGTGGTGCAGTATCACTGAGGGGGAGTCCAACACTGCCTGCCATTTGCAGCTGAGTATCTTAGGGAAAGATTTTTTTCTCCCTGTTGATCACCCTAACTAAAATAGAGGCTAAAAATTACCTGTAAACAGTGTATATGTTCTCTTGTAAACAGTGTATATGTTCGGTAGGCAATCATATTAATTTACATTTTAGTAACTGGTTTTAGAGAAGGGTTTCTTCCCTCATTGGAACAGATTCAGAAATCTCTTGCACAGATTCTGTGAATAAAGCTCATGTGGTATTGAAGAAAAAAAGATCAACAGTATGCAGTTTATAACAGATACACTCATAAAATGTAAGTGTACAAAGAGATTGATGTACAAGGACGGAGTAGTTTAAAACATATAAATATTAATCAGATAGTTTATATCATTATATTTTAATATTATAAGTGTATAAAGGGATAAAAATTATGTTTAGATACATTCTTGTTTTCACTTAGAAAGTTACAATAGAGTATCCTATAATACCTGATTATGTCCACTTAAAATATATAAAGCAAAAATTTAGAGAACCACAACTTACGAAAGAAGTTCACAATTATGATAGGGGATATCATTACATCCCTCTACAGTGATAATAAGGTTTTACAAGTCATAAAGAAATAAATGTATCTAGGGGTGCCTGGGTGGTTCAGTCGGTTGAGCATCTGACTCTTGATTTTGGCTCAGGTCATGATCCAGGGTTGTGGGATCAAGCCCCACATTGGGGCTTAAGGCTCCTTCTTCTCCTCTCCCCCCACTTGCATTCGCTTTAACTATATATATATATATATATGTATATATATATATGTATATGTATATATGTACATATATATATACATATGTATATGTATATATGTACGTATATATACGTACATATATATATGTACACACATATATATGTGTGTGTGTGTGTGTGTGTGTATGTATCTAAAATCAAGTCATCTGAATGACTCATGGATACTGTAGTATTTTACCTTGTCAACTTCCTCCTTCTGATTTTTACCACCCCCTTCCTCTTTCTTCTTCTTTTCCTTCTACTATTCCTTTGTCATAGGGCTTCCATGATTGTACCCTCTGCTTTTCTTCTTATCCTCTCATCTTTTTCTTCCTTTTATTCATTCCTTTTCTTATTACCAGTGTGGTATGGGTATTTCCCAATTTTTGACCTTAACTCTCTTTACTTGGTTTAATCTTCACAAATTTAACTATGACTGAAACACAGCTGGACTCCAAAATCTGTTATTTTTAAAATGTTTATTTTTGAGAGAGAGAAAGAGAATGAGCAAGAGAGCATGAGCAGGGGAGGGGCAAAGAGAGAGGGGGACAAGGATCCAAAGCAGGCTCTGTGCTGACAACAGAGAGCCCTATGCGGGCCTTGAACTCATGAACTGTGAGATGATGACCTGAGCTGAAATTGGATGCTTAACCAACTGAGCCACCCAGGTGCCCACAAAATCTTTCTCTCTAAATCTAACCTCAGTTCTGAGCTCTAGGGAACCAGAAATATAAATACCCTGATAGTATTTGAGTACTATTCATTTATTGAAACATTTATTGACTACCTATTAAGTTATAGGTACTGTATAAGTCAGAGTTTCAGTAGACAGAGATTCCAGCCAATATGTTCAATCAAATCATACTGGTTCTTAGTTATTGTTTTTGTTGACATGTCACAGTAAACTATAAATCATGTAGGGAGTTACTTCTGGGGTACATAAGAAATCAGGAAGACTTAAAAAGTTATACATCATCTGAGTTGTGAAAGTGTGATATTAATAAGAAAAAAGAAAACATTGTGAAAGTGAATGAAGGAAATAGAAAAAATACTGGATGAGCAAACTTGAATGCTTATAAAACGTGTGATAATCTTCTGTATGATTTACTGCACAATAAGGTTATTAATTAAAGCAAAAATATGATGTCAAACTTTTTTGATTGTCAAATCTTAAAAAACCTGATGAGCCCAGTAGTTTCAGTCTGTCCCCTCTTAATACACTCTTGTTTCTTTGTTCAGGAAACTGACCTGTAAGGAGCACATCACTTGAGTTTCCTTTTCCTCCATCATCTGGTTGGATTAAGGAGTATATCAGAGTGTAAGGAGAGAGTGATTTCAGGGAAATTATTCTGGTTGCCTTCCTGTGGACTGGTCTCTGGATCATCTCATCCCTTGAATAAAAGTCCAAAAATATTTCCAAGACAACTTTCTATCTTTTAATGCTTTCCTGTTACTACTCTCTCTATCCTTATCCATTTGGGATGCAGAAGTTGTAACAGTCCTGGGATACTGCACTATCCCTTTTTTTACACTGCTCTATGCCTATTATTTGTAAATAATTTCCTTCGTTCTAATTTTGGGTGCCGTCTGTTTTGTGGTGCCCCTTGAGGGAGACAATAAACGGTACTAGAAGTGAATCTAAGACCCAGTCTCAAAATATGTGTTGCAATTGAATTATTCACATATTCATGGAATGGAAGGAAAATTTCATTGTTGAGAAGTGTTTCCTGTATAATCATTGGTATTTTGTGACATCACAGGTACACAAATCACCTTCAATATCTTACATAGATGGTAGGTACAGTTTTTGGTTCTAAGTCAGAATATAACATTAATAGCACACCATGCTTCTTAATTTATATGATGGACTTGCTGCGTTCCCTGTGTTTAGAGATCTATATTTTTCATCTATATGAAGGACAAGAATAGATAACGCTGCGAGGTAAGGAATGGAATTTCATCATATTTCTGTTTTTCCCTCGAGATACACTTTCAGTCTTGCTCCAGGTGGCGACATGTATGGAGTACATTGGTGGGTGTCCTTTTCAATGCTTTTTAATGTGCATCAGTAAGGAGCATTGAGAAGAGATCAGAGCAGTATAAGAGAGTGGCATATAGACATTGATTTCCCAGACTCACTCCTTGCAGGATTGGTCAGTGGTTGAGCTATGTCCTTTGTCTGAAGTTCCTACCCTCTCTGAAGGGGACTTATGAGACTTCCTTCCTTACTCTAGTAATCACTCCCACTCCTCATCACTTATGAACCAGTAATGGTCACAGATCTAGGATGATACACAATCCCACGTCTTTTCCCTACAACCTGCCCACACCACTTAACGTTAATTCTTTTTATTGAATCATCCTTTATTTATCATCATTTGACTGCCCATCTGTTTCTGGAGCACTGATTCTTCTGATAATATTTGTAGAGATGTGGGGAAAAGAAGTTTTTCACATCTGTGGTGAAAATTGTGTTGATAAAATTACTTGTGAGAACAGTTGGGTAGTAGCCATAAAGTTGGAATGCATATATCCTATAACACAGCAATACTGTTTCAAGAAGAAATTTTTAAGCGCATGCAGAGGGATTCATGTGTACTCATGGCTCCTTGCCATAAAGTTTATTATGGTGATGGTGTATAAACAATCCATCTTTACCCCAATGAGTGGTTGAAAAAATAAATGATTTCATTATGATACAGAATACCAGGCAGCAGTTAAAATGAGTAATGTATACCTATTCATATAAGAGCATGGACAAAGCTCAAAAATACTGTGAAATTAAAAAGGTGGAAATGAGTTTGTACAATATGTTTTAACAACCATAAATAAAACTATTTATTGTTAATGTATACATACAAATATAGTAAAAATTAGAAAACATAGTGGATGTATTAGTTATGTATTCCTGTGTACCAAACTGCACTGAAGCTTCAGTACCCAAAATAGCAAATATTTATTATCAGGAATCCACGTGCAACTCAGTTGTTGCCTCTATTTCAAGGTTTTTCTTGAGGTTGTAGTCAAGCTGTCAGCAGGGATTGCACTCATCTCAAGACTCTACTGGGGCTAAGAGATGCACTTCTAAGCTGGCTCATGTGGGGGTTGCCAAATGTTATTTTCTCACAGGCTCTTCATGTCTTGGGGACTCCATTCCTTACCATGATAGGGGGGCCCTTCCTTCGAGGTGCTAATATTATGGCAGCTGGATTCTCAAGGGAAGGTAAGCAAAGAATGAGAGTGAGGGCTCAGGTTTGAAGCCACAATCATTTTGTAACCTGACCTCAGAGGTGACTTCTCATCACTTTGGCCATATTCTATTTGTTAGAAGCATGTCTCTATTTCATAATGATGGGGAAAGATTATCGTCGGGCATGAATACCAGGAAGTAGGACTCATTGGGACCATCTTAGAGGCTGCCTCCCACAAATGTATATGACACACAGTGAAAACACCGGGTAATGCTTATTTCTGGAGGGAGAAAGTTGAAAGTGTTACTATGGGGTATGTGCATTAGTTGCAAGTGTAAGATTTTCCTTTAATAGCAGGGTATTTTCTTGTTTGACATAGACATTTGGGGAGAAACATTGTAGGCAGAATATTGAGAATAAAGGCAAGAAATAATGGAGCAGCCTTTAAAGTTTTTTTTAACGTTTATTCATTTTTGAGAGAGAGCATGAGTGGGGGAGGGGCAGAGAGAGAGGAACAGCCTTTTGAGTAATGGGAAAGGCATGTCGTTTATTATGTCTGAAGCCATATTTTTATACCTTCATTTTTAAGTAGTGCTTAATACAATGTCTTGATCACAATAAATTCTTTTTTTGTATATACTTTTTTTAAATTTTTATTTATTTTTGAGAGAGAGAGCATGAGCAGGGGAGGGGCAGAGAGAGAGGGAGACAGAGGATGCAAAGCGGGTTCTGTGCTGACAGCGGACAGCCAGATGTGTGGCTCCAACTCCGGAGCTGCAACTCCCGAGCTGCGAGATCAGGACCTGAGTTGAAGTCGGATGTCCAACCAACTGAGCCATCCAGGCCCCCCTGACCACAACAAATTCTTAGTGTCCATTTTTCAATTTTGATTGAAAATAGAATAATTCATTCCTAAAAGAAAGACTTTGATATTTGTGTAAGCTGATAACAAGTATTTAAGGCTACACCACTGTTGCTTTGCTATAGATTTGACAGAAATTTTGTTCGGTTCCTTGAATTTCCACCAG